GTTGTTCGAGCAATTCGGCACGCTTGGCCTTGGCGAGATCAAGCACAGATTCAGGAATATCATCAGACTCTACGACATTGATGCTGCAGCATACGGTTAACACCGCTGTAGAAGACAGGTTCTTAGAGACATACCCCTTTTCTCCTTCATTGTAAATGGCTTTCCAACGTACAAGGTCGACTACACCCTTCAGCTCGTCTTCAACGCCTATAGGTACTTGAACTGCTGCAGCTGCAATCTTAAGTTTTGACCGGATCTGATTGATAACTCGCCATGGGTTGGCGCCAGGCCTGCGGAGGAAATTTAGAATTCGAACTTCAAATTGATGAATCAAAGCTTACCTATCCATCTTGTTGATAAAGGAAATACGGGGAACACCATACCGTCTCATTTGTCGGTCTACTGTGGTAGTTTGGCTCTATATAAATGATGAGACGTTTTTGATCAAGTTTAACTATGTTGTGCACACCTGTACACCAGATACAGCACATAGAACTAGGATAGCACCATCCAAGACACGGAGGGCACGCTCAACCTCTATGGTGAAGTCAACGTGACCTGCAAAGACGCGTCAATTTCAGTACGGAGATAGTTAAGTGACCATTTTACCTGGGGTATCGATGATATTAATAGCATACTTTTGTTTCTCGTTTGTCACAGGTAAAGTTGCTTCCCAATCACAAAACGTAGCAGCACTTTGAATAGTGATACCCTTTTCGCGTTCAAGCTCCATACTATCCATCTTGGCACCAACAGCATCCCGACCTCGAACCTTGGTCGGAAAAAAAAATCAGTCACGACCCATGTAAATAAATTTAACTGGGAAACAAATATTGTTTGGAAACCAAAATAATTGCCCAACTCACCTCGTGAATTTCCCGAATACGACCGGTGTAGAACAGTACACGTTCTGTGAGAGTCGTCTTGCCGGAATCGATGTGGGCGGAAACACCAATGTTCCTCTGGAAATTGAGCCTTTGCACATCTTTCCCTGTTAACTGATATGTGGGGTAAGTTGGTGGCTCATATTCCACTGGTGAAGACTTGGCGACCGCAGCTGCTGCTGAAGCAGCGCGTCTGCCTGAGCATGATACAAAGCACTGCGGAGAAGTTCTTGATGATCTAGAACTGTATAACGCCCATTGCCATGAACTGGGCAGCCTCCGGACAAATGTTTGCATGACAGGTCAGAAGGACATACAAAAATTAGGCGGGTGGCGATAAACCCGACAACCCGCTACAACTATCGGAGTTTCAAACTCAGATATACTGTTCATTGCTAAGGTCCATTTTGAAAGTGTTTATTCTATTCGTTGTGTCCTACCAACGCCTCTTTTCATCCGTCATCATGTTGGAATCAAGGAAGAGGCCCTTGCCAGATGACGGAGAGGTTGCTCAAGCAAAAAAGCGGGTGTTGACGAGCACGAGTGGGAGCCCGGAGGTCAACGGCTTGAGTGCTAATCACGACGCAGAAGAACCTGCGGACAACCACCAGTTAGAGGTGATTTTGGCATCTCTTGTACCTTACAGTCCACAAACCTCACTCTTTATTAGCTATTTCGCAAGGAAGCTATCTTCAGGCGCATGAAGCATTACTCCAGAGAGAATGAACGGAATCAGGCGCGCATTGCTCAACTGGAGCAGAGAAGAAGTTCGTGCGAGGCAGGTCTAGTAGCTATTGCTGCATGCTGGAAGCAGGTATGTGTTATATGTTGCTGGTATCTTAGTAGTGGGCATCAACGTTCTGGTGGGATAGTTGGTAGACACCGTTCAAACCCTGACGCCACCAGAGGAACTTCCAGTTGTCGAAGTCGATACGAAAGGTGCGTCAAGCACTCCTTTCATGACTTGGTTTCCGTTAAACATTGTACCAGATATTTTTGACTTGTCACAGCACATTTCAACTGACTCGAGCCTCAAAGCTGCACTCGAAAAGAACATGCTTGCAACCGAAAAACTAATCGCAAGCTTCATGAAACTAAATCCGGCCACCTTTAATGATAAGGCATATCAACGCTGTCAGACATCACAGACCGAGGTCAGCATTTCCACTGGGCCACACCATGCCATATTAACTCGACTTAGTGTGTTGCTCTTCGCTCTGAGATAGCACTTCTGCAGCAGAGGCTTGACGAGGTCCAGTCAGAGAAAGAGCAACTACACGACGACCTTGTTGCTGCGGAGATCAAGCTAGACCGTATGCAAAGTGGCACTGTTGCAGCCATGAAGACAAAGGGTGGGGTAAAGGAAGATGCAAACTCGGACCAACCATGCCCAGCGGAAGGAAGCACCCCAAATCATGGGACATCAACTCCACCAGTCAGTAACCATGGATGCCCCTCATTATTGCATAGAACTCACATTTTCTAGCCGCCTCAAATAAATGGTCATAATGATTCATCCCTGTCAGATATCGAAGCTTTTCGGTTGGAGCTCAAGATTTCCTCCGAACGTGCAAGTAAACTGGAGGCAGAAATTAGGACTCAGGCGGAGATCATAGCGAAGCTCGAGGTCGAGGTTTGTCGGTTATTACCGTCTGCAGGACAATACTGAAAAACCTTAAAGCGCGCCGCGCCAACAGTCGAAATGGTTTCTGGGACTGTGCATTACAAGATATTATCTGAGCGTAGGGACCAGCTGGAGCACCTGAAAGCTGAGAACGATAGCAGAATAGGACGCTTGGATGTCATGATACGTGACTTGCAATCAAGTCGGACGCAATTTGAGGAGGAGACTCGGGTAGGTTACTCCACACTTGTCCTCTTACTTATTCATATCATCTTTGTCAGACTTCCGCGCAACAAATGAATCAAGAACTCAAAGCCGTACTTGCTAAGCGGGATGCAGATCTCTCTCGCCTACGCGACCAACGTGAGCTGCTGCACGCCGAATTAAATGAACTTAGAAGTCGTGAAAATATAAAATATCAGTCATCTCGGGAGCTCAAGGCCCTCGCCGAATCACGAGCGGTGCGCCAGTTACACACAGATTCATACCAAGTTGTTGATACATTGCAAATAGGAAAGGATAACGCAACTTGAGTCGGAGGTTAGGAGACATAAGGCCAAATTAGCTGCGCATGCCGGTAATGAAGATCTCATGAAGCATTTCTGGGAGGGAAAAGTTGATGATCTTCAATACGTGGACGGCCTTCGGAAGAAACTGATGTGCGCATGATATTCTAAAGTGCGGAGACGGGTACCATTGACATCACACAGTGAAACGGAAGCAAAGCTTGCCGCACTTCAGAAATCCATGTCCACTATACGAGAAGGGCAACCCGATATTGCACGTCATATTGCCTCAGAAGCAGCTGTGCGGGAAGAGCTCGCGGCGGTCACAACAGAATTATCACGGTATCAATCTCTCCTTGGAAAACCCCCTTCTTCAGACCTCGCTAGGCAATTACAAGCGAAGGAAGATGAGCTCCAGAAAATGCGGCTTCTTGCAGAGCAACATCAGCAGGCGGAGGATGCGATTTACGCAGAGGTGGAAAGGCTTTCGGGAGCATGGGAGGCTTTGGATGGGCAATTGAAGAGTAAGGTAGTGAGCTTAATAGCGGCAGAGGAAAAGGTCGCCAAGAGCGCACACGAGGTACGTCGCCATTTCTCGTCCGTCCAGCAGGTTGAGTGTATACTTGGTATCCAGAAAGCGAAAGCGGATAACAAGTACTTTGCGGCCATGCGCGACAGAGAGTCCGTCGAGATTGAGCGGAAAAACGCCATTCGGAACCTCGAGAAGCAAGCCAAGGTTGTCGAACGACTGGCTGACGGCGAGAAAAACCTGCAACAACAAATAGTGCGTTCTTTTCCTTTGCATTCTGCCCCTCCGTCTCTTACCATCGTCATTTTGACTCAGGGTCATCTCGAAGCAGCCAACCAGCGTCTGCATCGAGTGATGGATGAAGCAGAAACAAGATTCACTGCTCTTGAATCCGATATTCTGATGTACAAGAAGCAGGCCGAAAGTACCGAAGAGATGATGATGAATGTACGATTTCACATCCTTGTCTGGTCCATATTTATAAATTGTCTACCTAGGTTCGAAAGATCGCTGACGAAAAATATGCTCACATCCACCACCTCAAGGGCTGTCTATTCAAGAGGGACGACGACCTTACTCGTATGAAAGCCGAGGTTGATAAACTCCGTCTTGAGGCGAAGAAGTTGAAATCTGCTTCAGCAAGTGAAAAGGAAGCAGAACTTATGGAAGAGGCTGCGTCTGTCTGGGTACGTTGTACCCTCGGTGTGGTGTTTGGAAGTGATTGTTGAATGGGTTCACAGAGACTCATTAAATGTTCGACATGCAAAGAACACATGCGTGGAGTTGCTCTCACCAAGTGCTCACACAGTACGTATTACTGCTAGAAATCAATAAACATGAGTGAACTAATTTCCTAATTTCCAGCGTTCTGCAAGCAATGCATCGACGCGAGGATCTCCACACGTCAGCGGCGGTGCCCACATTGTAATTCAGGCTTTGCACAGAGCGAGGTAGTGAACGTCCTCTTCCAATGACTGTTTCTCCGTTTCTATCCATCCCTGCTCAAACGTAGACTTCTGGTAATCTTCGCTGCTTGGCGTCTCTTTTATTGGACCGAATCTTCAGTCACGCGGCGATGTATTGTAGCATATTTTATGCTTTTTTATGGAGCACTCGTGCCGGGTAATGTAATGATGATATCATTTTATCTTTGGCATCTACGCTGGTGAATGAAAATTGTGAAAATTGTGAAACGGTCAAACTGTGAAACGATGCGGAGATTGCAAGGCATGATACCTTCGCTGGATGGTGGTGGAATGCAAGACCAATGGGCTGCCCGTCTGTGCAACTCTTTGCAGGAGGACAACCAAGTGAGCACAGATATCGTTCCACATGAACCACTACACAGCAAGACGAAACCGCTTTATAACGGACCAGCAATTGAGACTCAATTGGCCTGCTACTAAATATGTCCAGAGGTCGATTAAAATTCGACAGCTATTCGAGGTGTGTTGCAGCTGGCAACCTGACTCGGGGGTGTCACTGAATCTCTTGATATCCGCAACACCACGAAGAATCACTCTGGTTAGCGTCCCAAGCAATGACTTCTCGTTGTTATATCAAGCGATAGAGGTGAAAACATCTCAGCAATATTCACCTAAGTACTTCATGCAGAATTGTCAGGTTGATGGAACATTGGTGATACGATAAAAGCGATGGAACGAGAAGTAGGTACTGCGCAATATGCTGAGAATGACTACCGCTTGACCCAGGCATACTGTAGACAAGGTGAGCAAATGAGAGAAAGAATCAACGAAAAATACACATACCCGCTTGCGTGCCTTCGCAAGACCAGGCTTTTTCCGCTCAACCATACGCGGATCGCGACGCAAAAGTTTCGCTATGAACAGAGATGTTAGTCAAATTTGTTAAGTGGAGGACGGCTGGAATGGAAGTGATGCGCAACACTTACCCTTTCTCAAAATCGTTGCGACGGCTGGTTCGTGTGCTGCCAGACCCTTTGCGATACCATGCGCAACCGCACCGCTTTGTCCAGATGTACCTCCGCCACGTACGATGGCGAAGATATTATATGCCCCCAATAAACCCGCGAGTTTGATTGGATGAATCACGCGAGCACGATCAGCGGGAATAGGGAAATAAGTTGAGAGAGGAGTATTGTTCACGAGAATCTGGGAGACGGATACAGGCTCGTTGCTCTTCGACGAAGAAATGGGGTCAAGAAGAGCTGTAAGCGCGGTGTCTGTTTCCGTTGCTGCTGGTATTGACTGGGAGGCGGTGGATTTATCTGCGGGAGGTTGTTGGACAGGCACGATCCACACCCGCGCAGAGCTCGTCTTCCGCTTCCCGAGGGTATAGCTTCGCCCATACTCATCGAACTTGACAGGTTTGGCCTTTCCCCTCGCCAGCATCGTCGCAGCGTCTGCACGCTCGAACAGTTCTGTGATACCTCTGATGCCTTCCTGCAACTCTGCAATCCCAGCCTTTTCCGCAATGGCTCTATAGGTCTCTAGCTCATTGAGCACAAGAACCACTCGTCTGTAGCGGCTCGTCGTGAGGGTGCTTCTGAGCTTCAGACCGAGCTCGCGCTTGTCTACCCAAGCATTGACACGCGGTGGGAGGGCCTCCCGAGCAAATTGAGGAAGGGGAAGGAGGTGGCATGATGTAAGCGCAGTCTTGGCATGTTGCAGAGCTGACTCTAACGACGAGAGCTGATCGTAGAATTCGGGACGAGCGGTATAGAAGGCTGGGCTCGTAGGACGCGGTTTTTCGCGTTGGCGTTGGCGGAAGTCAAAGTGGTTTAGAGAGGCGGGTGGGACAAACGGCCTCGTGGTCTGTGTCGAGTAAAACCGAAACTTGGACAAGCCCGACGGTCGTCGCAGGACGTTCATTGGTGTCTTGAACAAAATTCAAGAAAACCCGTAATTTCAGAGCCGCGTTATAGACGTCACGTGACGTGTCAGATCTTGCCTTGAATCAACTTTAAATTATCGAGCGTCTCAGTGAGCGCAGTGCGCTCTCTCTACGGCGTTGTCAACAAACTCTATTATCCTGGGTAGGCTCATGTGATAAAACACTTCCTAGCGACCCACTAGGGCGGAGAATATCTTCTCGCCTTGTCGAGCTACGAGTCGGGTCGTTCTCGATCTAACACCCTATTTCTGCCCGTCACCAGCTATTTTCAGTCTCGTTTCATGAGTAGCCCTGCTGGTATTGTTGCCAATGCAGTCGACATCCGCATAACCAAAGCCGCAGTGGCTGGGAAGGAGCCTGGGTTAATCGGTGTTCACTACTTTGGTCATACCTTAGTCAGCTTCTACTCCTTGTGCTCGTACCATGACCATATTGATTTGAGACGAGTCAGATCTAAATTTAGCGAACTATTGGTACAGTACTTTCGAGTCGTGTTTAAACACTAACGTTGTCTTCAGGATTGTTAAAATCTCGTTTGCGCAGTATTTAAATGCGCTCGTCTTGATCCATATCTCGATGATGGGTAAGTACTTTTCTCTCAGATATCTCGTCTAATGCTGAACCACGCTAGACTACTCACCGTTCGTGATCGCCAATTTTGATATCAATGATTACGCCAACGCCATTCTTGCTGGCGAGCCGTATCCACAGCACCAAACGCAATTCGCAAAGCCCCGAACGGGGGCGCCCTTGGAATCAAGCAAGGAAAACATATCGATCACAATATCCAAGCTGGACTCGAGCATCGAGAATGTTGGAAAGCAAATAAAAAGCCTGGTATGTAATTATATTATCACACTGAGATACTGTTGATCACGTATTGATTGCAGGTTACTACCCACCATGAAGAACTGCTTCAACGAGCAGTGGAGATCAATAACCTCTCAGGATCGCTGACTTCAGTTCGACGTAGCTTAGACGACATCGATGCTTCCTCGGAGAAGTACGTAGCTACGTTCTGTCGTTACCTTGCAACTTACGCGACCGAATCAGACTTCGCGAGAAGATTCGTGTTCCATACCGAACCTTGGAAACGAGCGCCATTAGGCTTCAGCGCACTCGTCAAGCTTCAGATGTGTTGCGGTGTATTTCACGTTTCATCGTGCTCTCACGACGTCTAGATACTCAAATGTCCAAGTTCGCGACGTTCGACAAGCCGAGCACCGCTGAAAAGAACCTCAATAATTCAAAACGCCTATTCACAGATCAGCAAGACGACAAGGAGCGCACAATTGCCAAAGCGGCATTGGTAATAACTGAGCTAGGTTCGCTTATTTATTACCTCGCAGGTATTTAATTGTTTACTTTGTCAAGGCGCCTTGTTGGATGGACCTGAAGATACTGGGGATACCCTCCAGAATTGCTTGCCAGAAACTGGCCATAGGACTACCCCAACGATGGACGCACTGGTCCCGCTTCGATCGGTGAAGGCGGCAGTAGCTTACCTACCATTTATCGAAGAAGCGCGGTGCAAGGTCACGCGTGAGATGGAATCCATGATCATGACCGGTCTTTCCACTTTGGTCTGTCATTCCATATTCTAGCATGAATCATTAACATGACTTTTGATTCCAAGGACCAGTCACTACTGGCATCCTCGTTACAGACAGCGCACAACTTATGTGTACTCCCAACGCTCGTACAGCGTTTGTCAAAAGATCTTTGTGACGCCGTCGAGGAACGGATACGAAGTACTTTTGATCTCTCATGTATTTCAAAGGAACTTGTTTCGAAGGGTACGTCGTACTGAGACTATCCTTCCTTGACTGATGTTCTTGTTCTCAAGAAAATATACCTTCGTCTCAAGGCCTCTCATATAAGTCGCGTGTACGAACAGAACCAACAAACATCACGGCACCACAATGGACAGGTGCGCTTTGGGCCCGCCTCGAGTCTCTCGTCGAGGAGATGGCGGCATGCTGCATCAAGGTAGCAACCTGAACACTATTCTACATCATATCGACGACTTACTACTTAGTTTTAGGTGTATACGCTCGAGAAGGCCCTAAAATTGAAGAAGGACCCGGTAACGCAAAGATCGTTCATTGCCGATGTAATGAAGGTGCGTTTTTTTGTACATCCAAGCACCAGATCTATGACTAACTAACTACTTGAAGGTTCTAGAGAACAAACCTAGCTCCACAGTCTGGACTTCGCTAGGACGCTCTCTCGAGAAGTATGTTCGCGATGCTACCAAAGGTTCGTTTTCATCTGTGCCATGTACATCACCACTAATGTGTCATGACTAGGATCAATTTTCTTTCAACAGACTCTCAGCGTCGGTTACCCCAAACTCCTACGCATCTTCCACAAATTGTTTGCCAAAATTGCAGTGCATACTGACACAGTCTATACCCAATCTCAGCAATCGTATGTCTTCCCCTTCTCGTGAAATATAGCCTTATACGCAATTTTTTAGACCAGAAACTGTTATCGTCCTCCGCGCTCTCTCTACATTCGAGGATCTCTACCTCTCTCGTTCAGCGACCCGTTTGAATGAATCCGTTTCCCAGGCTTTTGCTGGTGGCTCTCACGCACCTCCAGGCTCTAACGAAGGAGTCACAATTGCGCGGGTGGTGATGAATGAACTTGATTCTGCTAGGTTCGATCCTTTGTTAATACTTGCGGTGGCGAGAAATGTTGGCGCAGCTCTTGATAGTGTGATCATGAGGGCCGAGGGCCTGGTGAGTCTTTTTTGGCTTTGAATAGGTACCATATAACTCATATGTTGAAACTAGATCTCTTCAGATCGCTTAGCGGTTACACTTCTTGGGCCGATGGCGACTCCACAACAAGTCTTGAATGGTCAGGTTGCGACGTGCCTTTATTATTGCTGGACGAATTTGGAGAAGGTAGCTGAAGAACATACCGAGAGCGCTGCCACGCTTGTAAAAGCTGGTGTAAAGGTATTTATTCCCAAGAATACCAAGTCTTGAACTCACCCCGCTGCACAGAGACTGCACCTCACTTACGACGGTATTGTTGACCCGCTCCTGATGGCGATCCGAAGGGAGCTCGCTTCCATCGTCTCGAAGCTTCATAGGGTTGACCTGCAGAAGGCCACGAACCCGATGGCAGGCATGGCGGGGCCAAGCCTGTACATGAAAGACCTCGCCGATAAAATCAACTACGTCAAGACTCAGATCTTTACCAATTTTGCAAGTGATATGACCCAGTCCTGGTATGTTCTTTAGTCATTTGTTGTTGACCTGTCGCGCTAAGTGAAACACCCAGGGCGCTCTCCATCGTAAGATATGTCATCCGAAACTTCGTGCTCCACGCCAGTATCGCGAAACCGTTGGGGGAGAGCGGGAAGCTGCAGCTCACGACAGATATGATGGAGCTCGAATTTGCGTTGAGTGCGTTCCTTGGGCCCTCAAGGCAAGCGTGGTCTTGAAGTGGCAGGAGAGGAGTATAAAATGCTCAGAGCCATGCGGTTCGTTCTATTCTTGATGCTACCTGATGCGCGCTCACTCACTTGTCGTAGACCCCTCCTCTTCATCGACACAGCTTCGCTTGCAAGTCCAACGCACGCCGCGAACCTGCCTCCGCTCGTAGTGCTACACCATATTCTTGTACGGTCCCTACTGCCAATGCCGCACATAACCCATGGATGGCAGGAAGCGGAGTATGTGCGATGGACGGAAGAGCATAGACAAGAGGATGCGTGGGGACTAGTTGAGGCTGCGCTGGTTGGGAAGGAGGGAGAGTTTGTAGAGCTTGCAAGGAAGGTACTGAGGCAAGCGAGAGGTGAGTGAGGCTCGGGACAGGGTACTCAGCGCTTGCTTCCGTTTATTCAAGCTATTTCTAAATCGATACCCACCCACCATCTTTGTTTAGGTTTGGAGCGAAACAAACAACCGCCTCCCCGCCTACCCTGATTGTGATGTCACATATTTCTAAATTCGAGCATGTTGCGCTACAAAATCTACTCTACGGTGTTAGTAAGGCTTGCTGATTCGACATGATGACTAGCAGGTATGTGAGCTAATCCAGTCCACTCGCTTGCAATGGTGACACTAAGCACTACCTGAGCTTGCTCACCAGCCCGGTGATTGTAGCGCGCTCCACTTCCAACCAGTGAGCAACCCTGGTCAAGTTCTACTTCGTCTCCAACACTCGCGAACAATGCCACAGTATGATGATGTCAATATATTTCAGCTCTGTTATTGAGGATACATAGCAGATGACTCGATACCCGGCGATGCTAACAGTATGTCTGTTTCAAAATCAGGGACTACTCGGAGACACAGAGCTTTTGTGATTCACCAAGCTATTGCACGTCGTACATGAGTCTTATATACTATCCAACATGTATAAGCATTTTCGATGGCTCGTGTCCATTTGATTCCGCAGAAGCAATTCGTGCCAACCCCATGTGTGCTCCATCTAACTTGTTCTTGAACTACCATGGCTTCCACATGTTCTTTTCACGGTGTTGTCGGTATCTAGAATGCTACTCCTTATGCATTGGAGCCGAGAAAGAGGTTTTGGTTGAAGATGGATGGGTTTGTGCTGGTCTCTGTCACTAATTCAGGAGGCAGCGTTGGAGATCTTCCTGTCTCCGTCTTCACTTTTGGCACCAAAAACGCTCCTCCGGAGGATGGTATTTACACCATCAATACTCACGTTATTACAGCTGCCACTTTAGACAGAGAAACCAATTTAGAGCTTTATTGCGTTACTAGTGTATGTTGCCTATCTTTTTATCCAAGTACCTCTTTGTGTGCATATTCACACTTACCACCTGTGCGTATGACGCAACTTTAATATTTGTGCGATACAACATAGAGTGCGCGATACACTAGCTACTCTAGTAAACTAGACGGCCGAAATCTTCGAAACTAGGCTCGACAATCAGGTAGTATCTTGCGAGATCATCAGTTGTACAAGCAATAAGTTTTCGCTTGTACTTTGAGCCTTCACAATATTTAATATGGCCTTCCAGCTGCAGTCTGGGTTGGTATCTCCAATGTTGAGTTTCTCGGAAACAAAGAACTGGGATATTCCCTGAGTCAAAAAAGATTCCGAGGGAGTGTCGATGTAGACCAAACGCCTTCCTGTACTACGAAGGCATCCTCATTTACCCTACTGTCAATGACATGGATATCTTAAATGGCGATGCATCCGAAACCTGAGGACAGATGCCATAATGGTGAATTTATGACAACCTGACTCGGCTTGAATTGGATTGTGATTTCTTGGGAAGCTCGATTATCCCGTACTGCTGACAAGGGGGTGTGGCTTCAGGGTCGGTACCTAATTAGGATAGAGCAAAGGGGGTAGAACCATTGTACTCACTTCGGAGGAAAAGCTGTGTGAGCATAAGCTGTAGATGTCAAATTCACTGTACTGCACTGGAAGATCGGACTGGTAGTTTACAAGCAACACCGCAGAAGATTATGGTGCTTACTAGACTTGCCGGCCCTACCACAGCAAGTTCAAATATACTGCGAGTTCGTCCAAGGTGTGAATAAGATGAGAAAAGGGGCAGTCTCGTCTAGACCCGGGTATTGCTGTACATAACTTGAGTTTCGACAGCCAAAATAGTTGATACGTTGTCGTGTAAACAACGGCCAATTTACCTTTGCCTGCTGTGCCAACAGATACAACTGTACTAGTGTACGTACGTTTGCAATAAATTGAAGGTGCAGGAAATAAAACCTGTGCGACGGAGCAAGGTGAGAGTCGGCAAGGCTGAACCCTAATTTTGTATCCATGAAATCGAGTGTGTAGTGCCCTGTTAGGGTACCGTGTTCCATGGAGGGCTTCTAGGCAAGTTGTACTTAAGATCAACGGAAGTTCTGAACGGAAGCGGATGACTGAATCTGGAGCGTTCTGCTATTTGAACACAGCCTTATGTAAGCTTGATCTCTCCCCAGCTCTGACGCCACCAACGAAAATAACCGCTGCTCCAAATTCTGCTTCCAAGCCCTGCAGCATACATTAACCTGGCTTCCTCATCTTCATGTCCCACCCTCTCCCACAAAACTTGGGTGTGTAGTGTAGTATCTCCTTGACAGTATTTTATTATTCACGTATTATGAAATTTTAATCATGAACCAACTTGATTTTTTCGGACAGCCTGTCGGCCAGGAGGTCACCCGGTCTAGTGTGCTAGATGAAGGCTTACAAGGTAAGAGCCGTCCACGTCGCACTCGATCATAATATTACAATTCTATGTTTAGATCTTGGCTGTTCCTGTCCTAATACACGCTGTACCGAGTAGTAAGTATGGATTCTAATGATGGCAAAGTTCCAACTGGGCTGATGGCACCCAGTGAAAACTGGACTTTACCGGAGAGGCTCGTAGATGTTGTGGTGTGTTATTTTTTATATCGGAGAGAAACACAGTTCGGTGCGAAGGTGTGATACAATGCGAACTTTGCGAAGGTTGTGTCGAAGAGATAAGAAAGGAACACATCTCGGCACATCACAAACAAGGTAATTCATCGGAGAGCCTCTCTGGTAAGATCCAGTTTTCATTGATCATTGCTGATGCAGCGCTGATTCGTCTGACGCCGCAAGACAGTTGGCATAGTACTAAACTTACGACTTCACCAGGATTAGCGTTCTTTCCAAATCCAGTCCATCCTCACACGGGATCTTCCTAAAGTGAGTGTGTTCTCTTCCTCTTCAAAGCGCTAGGCTGGCGTCTCTGCCACCGCCATGCGGTGCCACTTATCAATTGGAATCACATCAGATCTATCGAATGATAATCGTTTCATGTGTAACAAAATGGATCGCAGCAAGATCGGTAAGACTGGGGGGACAGCGGATTTTTCTGTTTTTAGCTGTGGCGGCCAGCGTCTCTTCAGCTGCAGCTCCTTTTCAGGTGTGCAGCAGGTGTTGGCGGATCCAACGTCCCCTGGATTCATTATGAAGCTTTGAAGTCTCACGCTGTAATTCTTCGCGACTTTGTGATGCGGAATCGGAATTTCCCGTAACCGTTACGTTGAACGTTGAGTCGTGCATTCATGCATTAACTCAAGATCTCAGCTTCTCAATTGGATGCAAAGTTCGAATGACTTTCGTTCTGCTAGAACATTCATATCTACACTGGTATCCTGTCTTGCGGACTCCTGCGGCCGCAGCCTCATCAACGTGACTAGCTGTTTTGGGGATAGTAGTTGGAGGGTTCTCGGAATCGTCAGGTCACTCAGGCTGTCCCTGCGGCAATTTGGCAATCTGCTCTCCTCCACTGATCAGGGTCCTTGCCTCCTTCTTTACGAGGTTTCAAGGATCAACGTAATTTTTCAGCAAGACTACCCGCCGGAAGTAGTACAAATCGTTACGCCCCAAACGACACCGCTTCCATTGATTTTACTTCATCTCGTGAGTTGCTCAAAATACCACATGGGTCAGTTATTTAAATTTGTAGTTCAATTCGGGCACCATCCTGCTAGACTACGTTGTTGTATGTGTCAGTTGGTGAGCGTGAAATGGTGAGAATCGACACGACCAGGAAGGTATCGAGCTCATCTTCTCGCTGATGGGAATTTTTTTGTATTCGATAGTTCCGACCTCCTCGTCGAGACATATAAGACCCCAGTCACCGGCCGAAACAGCTTTGCATCCTCCTCTATTCACGTTGGCGTGGAACATGCCATCTCGTCCATATTGGCTTAAATACCTGCAATCAAAAAGGCGTATGTCAAAAATCTTCTATTGCTTAGCACCCTACTTGAACATACACTCTTAATCCCCGTCACGGGTACGTTTAGCACCCAAGAACAACTCGAGTTAGTACTAATCCACGGTGCAGCATATCCTTGTGATCACCGTCAACCAGCACGTCCCCTTGATGAGCCACAGCATGCCTCTCGATATCGTTCACGTGGATCCAGAAACAATTTTACGAGCAAATCAAAGCGGCCAGCCAGTTGTTCTGTATAAGTGTCAACTACAGGGGGACCTCTGCGGATTGTATGTAGAGGGAACGACCAGTGCAATGTCTGCTCATCTGCGAAGACACGGCATCACCGGTCCGGTCACCGGTCCGGACAGCATCAGTACAATTTGTACATGGGATGGCTGCTTCAAGCCACTCAAGAAGGGAAGCATGACAAGACACCTCCTTGCTCACCTTGGTGTCAAAGTGCGTTGCTCTGCATGTGGAGTCGTGAAGTGCCGTCACGATATCCTTCGTGCGCACATCACATCCTCAGAGCCGTGCCATTCTGCAATTGCCGATCATATTCACGGACCCGAAGGACGTCTCTTCATTCCTTCGAGTCGGGTTGCTGAGCCTGCTACCCATGAGGTTTAATCCCTGTGACATTGTGTATGTCCATCATCTTGTTATCCGTGTTTTGACTGGTACTGACAAGTCGATTTTCATTGTGGTCACAGTGCCCATTATCCCCCACGGTGTGGTAATCAAGATTCAAGACGGTACACTTAACACGTTTCATGTGCAGACTACCTGACATACTATATAGTATTAATATTGTAAATGATATACCAAATGATAGCTCATCGGACGCCGCTGCAGATGCCAAGTTCAAAATCGTAAGTAGCGCCAAGCCATCACCCTTCCTTATTCAGCCCGCCTATGTCGCGTTTCCGCTGGATCTGATTTACAGCTATTTGCAAAAAGGTTGGTGAGTAGTACCCGATATCATGAGAAAATAAACTATTGTTCACCATATTTGGAAAGTACTATATGCATACCTGTGTTCAAACCTAAACAAAAACTTATATAAGCACACCGCTAAGCTTTAATATTGACGGGGTCATTTAGATAGCGCCTTGACTTGAACACAGTGGGGTGCCGGTGAGGTTTGAATTTGCGGTCCGACTCGTCGTCCGAGATCTGAGATTGGATCTGCATGATGTTGGAATCCGAAGCCGAGAGATCCGAGTCGAGAGAAGCCGAAGGATCCAAGCTTAAGATAGGAACGAGCGGGAGGTGATAGGTACGAGCTCAAGCCAAAGTGGACTTGGGCGAGCGCCGTAGTGACGTCGGCTCGCGTCCTAGAATATTTTCAGTCTATCTTTCGTATATTCGTGTTGCTAACGCACTTACTATAAGACCAGTAGGAATAGCGCAGATACATCTCAGTTTCGTCCAAGACACTGACATGTACGTTCTAAAAAGTCACCTAGAGTTTTTATCATGTCTAACGTTAGCTATAGCTTTTGTCGTTCTAGGTAGACGCACCGTTTGTTCGTCCAAGACACTGAGATCTTTGGTCGTTCTAGACTCCTCGTTTGGTACGCAATCTAAATATAATTAATTGAGTGCCGTTGGCAGACAGGATGAACGACTTACCAATCTTGTTCACAAGGAGTATGATGTCTTTGCCTGTCGCTACTTTAAATAAATCCTCATTGAGGCCCGCTGCAGGATCCCGCGCATCCACTACATGGAGAAGTACGTCCGCTCTTTCCAACACCCTGCGAAGAGAGCAAGGTCATTTGGTGATCGGTTTGCCAGGTTCTGAAATCGGAAGTGTCTTGATGGGTGTGGGACGAATGGACATGATATTTTAATGTTCCTCGAGTCCAGCAAGAGCGGCGCGCGTTTCATCCTTGCGTCGCTGCTTTTCCTCTGCAGCCTGTAGTGCAATCAAGTCAGTAAGGAGAAAACTGAATAGATTAGTGCTTTTTGCCTGACGTCATGACTCTGCGATTTCCGCGAGCATTTGATCCTTGTAGGGAAAATATTCGGAATTCCAAGATCTTTTTTGGATTTCTTGTGGGCTACACGAAGACTATGATCAAGAACATAAAACAACTGAGCAAAAAATAGATGCGAAGATGAACGGCAAGTACTCACTTATTCCAGCGTCTTGTGTGTTTTGAACCTCTTTCTTAGCTTTCTTCCTGCCTTGCGGGACCTTATGCTTCAACTTTTCACGCTGATGGGTCGTCCCTCGCTTGGATGTTTCTATTCCGCGGTGTCAATATTACGAATGAGTATGTTTTTATGAAATTGATTAGCCACGTACTTTTACGAATCCGAGGCATAGCAAAGTATGATTTGCAAGTGCAGGCGGCAGCCACTCGATGCAGCGATTATAAACTCTGAGTACTAGGACGCATTCAAGTATCCTAGCTGAATGATGGATGTCAAATCCGAGTAGAAGCAGTCCTGCGGACTACACGTGACCAGCTAACATCAATTCAAAATTCGAGGAACTAAAACATATGTGTTGCTATATGCATATGTTATTATTTGTATATCTAATACTATCGCCGAGTATACTAGAGTCACGTGGCCTACTACGCTTAGACTAGGACGCGGTTGACCATGAGCGCAGCAGAGCACAACTTTTCTGGTGCGCTGGCAACATGGAAGGGTACGCAAAGGCAAATTAGATGGATGAAACGACGAGCTAACAAGTGCAGACATCAAGCTGCACGAACTGCAAAAGACGCTGGACGCTCAAGGTATCGAGATTGTCGACAACCAGAAGGAATCTGTACTGGGTCGCAAACAGCTTGCTGACCGCACAAAAGGTTTGCGTGCATACCTTCTTTGATCTTCGGCTATTCCCAACTTTCTGTAGAGTTCAAGAAGATTCCAGATGACGAAAAGTTGAACTCGTTCAAAGGCCTGCTCAAAGGTTCGCATATCCTCTTCTCAGTGACCTATCAATTGCTAACTTTGGCGTAGCGTACCAGACAGAGATCGATAACCTTACGAAGCGGTCAAAGGTTTCTGAGAATGCGTTCCTCAACGTGTACAAGGTCCTCGCTGAAGCACCGGATCCATATCCTCTACTCGAAGCTGCTGTCGTGCGTCTCACCCATCTTCTTCACTTCTCCCCAATTTCACACGGACGTAGGACCAAACGGTTAAAGCCACAGAAGCGCAAGCACTGGAAGCTGAAGTTGCCCGGTTGCGTGCTGAGAACGCTGAGCTTCGACAGTCGTCTAGTGCTTTTGATGGGTCCAAGCGTCGTGTCGAACAATTGGAGACACGTATGGACGAGCTTGTCGCGCAGAAGGAGTCTGAGATCAACGCTGCGTACGACGAACGCATGCGTAATTACGAGGAACGGTACGTGGCTTGTGTTTGGTAGTTGCATGATGCTGATTGAGATGCAGGGAACAGGACTTGCATCGCCAGGTTGCACTATATAGGGACCAAGTGCGCGATCTCCGACTGTCGAACGAATCGAATCAAGCGAAGCTTTTTGATCACAGCCAGCGTCAAGGCAAGTTGTGCTGCTTTGCTTCCTTCTTTCTACTTCGTTGTTCTTGCATGCTGACACTTCTGCTTAGACCAAGAGGTTATTTCCCGTCTCGCAGAAGCTGACATGATCATGGTCGACTTGGAACGTGCGAATAGCAGAGTCGTGACCGTCGAGCAGCGGAATGTAAGTTGTATCAGCCTCTACTCCTTGTTCGTCATTTTGCCGTTGTCCCATACCATTTATTACGCATCATCTTGCATACGTCCACCCCAGTTACTATACAGCTGTCGCATGGTTGACATATCACCACCTTCCCTTCGTTGCCATGCATGCATTTCACCCTACTATTTTCCTTTTTATTACCGCAACCTGTCCATACTTTTTGCTGTTCTGAAATTCAAATGATACTGACTAATTCCACAGGAAGCACTCCGTGGAGAGATCGAGGCATTGCGCATTGGCAGCGAAAGCAGTGAGCGGTACGTCTGATCTTTCATTTTGCTTCCCCCTCCACCCACTTTTTCTGAATCTTTCAATCCTTATACGTGCTCTTAACTCAACTGACATGCGTATATTTGAACAGTGTTAGATCGCTAACTACTCGTCTCTCCGAGCTTGAGTCCGAGTGCACGCGACTCGAAAGTGCTGTTGACGTTGCACGAACCGCTGCAACGCGATCAGAGGAGCAGATTTTAGAGAAGGTAGGTGTCGTTTTAAGCTTGGAGAGACATGCCTTATCATAACATAAACACGCCACAGGCTTGTGAAGCAGACTCTGCTCGTGCAGAAGTAGACGCTCTCAAGATAAAACTAAAAACATACGCAGATTACGACGAGGTGAAGCGAGAACTGGAGATTCTGAAGGTGCGCTTTTCCCTCGTGTGTCCTTCTCATCGTGTCGACCCCATGATAGTACGTTGAATTTGCAGGTCTCGACCCGGATGATGATTGGTCAAGTCCTGACGAAGACGAAGACGGAGTGCATCTGCCAAATCCAAATGCGGACAAAGCGAATGTACAGCACGGCAAGAGTCTTGAAGTGCTCCTTGCGACGAAGAATAAACGGATACTGGAGGAGTTGACTCGATTTAGGGTATGCTCACTGTTAATTTTGACCTCTTCATCCAACTTTCTGTTCCATAGATCCTCCACACATCTCTTGAAGCCTCCCTCAAAAGCACACAAGATGAGCTCGCAGACACGCACGCAGAACTTGCCAAGCAACAAGCCCTTTGTGAGAAACTCGAGACGGACCTACTTGCTCTGAACACCAACAATGGGGGCGGGTCAAGAGAGGAGAACGGGGAGAACGGGGAGAGTGGGATTTCGGGGCTTGGTCTCGAATTTGGCTTACGGACCAAGGTTTGTCTACATTTGAAGGACTTAATTTGGGCAGTTGGTACAATTGATATGACAGGACGCAGCGGGTCCAAGCACCACACGCTCGACACCGATACCTTTCACGTCATCCGCCGATACCTCGATTCTTCCTATCGTGACCAGTCAGCGGGATCGGTTCCGGCAAAGGAACGCAGAGCTTGAGGAAGTAAGTATCAAGTTTCGCAATCACGTTTCTGCTCCACCTCTTCAGTCGTCATTCATCCTGCCCGATGCTAACCCATCCCCAGGAACTGCGTAAACACTACCACACCATCTCAGAACTCCGCACCGAAATCAAATCCCTCCAATCCGACAACCTCAAGCTCTACGAGAAAGTCCGTTACATGCAATCATACCGCGAACAAGGATCTGTCTCACAGCTTGACCCTCTTCCGCCGTCTTCTTCCTCGGCATTCAACGGAACCGGAAGCGGGAATGTAAGTGGAAGTGGTGGTGGAAGGGACGAGTTAGGGAAATGGCGCACGAGGTATGAGGAAGCGATGAATCCGTTTGAAGCGTTCCGTGGGAGGGTATGTGTCCTGTACTTGGGCTTCGTGTGTGCTGGGCTGATGATTGTCGTTCAGGAAGCGACACGTGCATATGAGGCTCTCAACCCTGTCGAGCGAGGTGTACTCATGCTCACGCGTGGGATTATTGGGAACCGGCGTGCCCGTACAGCTTTTATCTTTTATGCGGCGGCGTTACATCTCTTAGTTGTCGTCACGGTGTATGAGTGTGCGTGGTCGAGTGGGCAGCTGCAGGTTCAGCCGGGGCCCTACTAATCATGATGGAGTCTTAAGCGAGATAATCCTTGTTGACCGCTCGCTTTGGAGTTCACCACGTCGTGGAACTTGGAGGGACACATATGCTCAAGGCTGATTAGATTATATGCTGTAAAATATCAATGCACTATGGCTATGTTACATGCTGAGATACGCAATCTCCTGCTGAATCGCACTACGCGGTTTTCAGCGTCGAAGTCTTTGCACTCCGCGCCCTATAAAACGCAAGCGCGTGCTCGACAGCGTCCAAAAGGGGTTTCATAGCCTATCATAAAAGCGCGTTCAGCACCAATCATCCAAACAAAAGAAGAGAACAAAGACTCACCACCTCTACCCTCTCAGGTTCCACACCCTCTAATTGGCCTGCCCGCACGAGCGCCTCGACTTTCTCGCGTGTCTTACTGAGGTAGCCCGCCATCTTAGCTGCTTTAGCTGCGCTCTGAGAGGGCGTGGCGCCTGATGAAGTAGTCGTTGGGGGAGGATAGAGAGAAGTCCAGAATTGTCTGAGGAACTCGTTTGCGGCCGTTTGGCATGTCGTGAGTTGGCGGAAGAGCGTTGGTGGGAAATCAGCTTTAAAGCAAGAATTTGAATGAAAGAGGTGGTGGTTGTGAGGAGTACGCACTTTTTCTAGTACGGATATCTAATCGCGCAGACACATTTTGAGTCATTGAGTCGAGCGCTGCGTCTCCTGCTCTTTTGTCTATTCGAAGCTGTGAAGGAATTGGGAATGTGACATCGATACATCAAAAAAAAGGAGACGCTACCTGACTGAATCGCGTCTCCCAACCCCTAAAGCCATGTTTCAATTCTGCAAAAGCTGTGCGGACATCAACGACCTGATCGTTCGGTGTGTGAGTACTTTGGGAGACAAGAGAATAGAATAGAGGGAAACACACCTCACTACCTGCCTGCTCTGAAGCACTTCGGGCAAGCTGTCCCTCGAAATACCGCTCGCGGTCTTGCATCTGGAGCGTGATTCCACTCATAGCTTCTGAGTCCCTTAGATCATCCAGCGTGATCTGGGCGTATGCGTCGTCATCCTCATCGTTACCACTATCAGTGCGTCGGCGTTTGGCGGGTGGTACTTCGCCTCTGTCATACATTGAGCTCATCAAGATCAGTATTGATATTGAAAAGAAGAGACAGACAGAGCAGAGTTGAGTAATCGTTCAGAATGCTCGTTGAATTTTCGGATGAGAGGGAGGGCCCCGCGTTGTCTTCCGGCTTGCATTGTCACGTCCTTTTCGTTTCCTGTCTGTTCAGGGTAAGAAAGAACATGAACCAAACATGGTGGAGGTATTACCTCTACATGGTCCTCAAGTGTCGCTCCTATATTGATGTAGAGGTCCGAAACTTCGTTTCGTGCTCTTCGGGGCTCTAGCTCTGTGGAATGAAATGACGGGGATGAATTTCAGGATAGATAGAAGTGGTGTACCATCGTCGTCTTTCTCTAGGTATTTGTCGAATATAGGATCGTCTTTTACGACGTGCTGCGTAGCCGAGGAACGGATAGAAGCACGGTGGGCGTTGAAGAGCTTTGACTGGAAATATCTCTTCCAGAACTCGGCTTCTGAGAGCTTGTAGCGGTGCAGTTTAGATACAGGCGATATATGTAGATCTGGGACGGACCTTGTTAGGAACGTTGTCGTTGTACGCTTTTGCAACG